ACAACTAACTAACTAACTAACAACTAACTACTAACTAACTAACGAAGAACGAACGAACGAACGAACGAACGAACGAACAACTAAAAAAAACTAACGAACGCAAGAACGCTAACTAACTAACTAACTAACTAATAACTAACTAACTAACTAACTAACTAACTAACTAACTAACTAACTAACTAACTAACTAACTAACTAACTAACTAATAACTAACTAACTAACTAACTAACTAACTAACTAACTAACTACTAACTAACTAACTAACTACTAACTAACTAACTAACTAACTAACTAACTAACTAACTAACTAACTAACTAACTAACTAACTAACTAACCATCAAAAAAATTTTCATCTTGAAGATCAAATCGTAAAAAACTTATTTTCAAGTGCTTCTTTAAATTAGGCGTATACTTAATATTTGTAATATCAATAAATCATTAGCACGTATACGTGCAGGTGACGTTAATAAAAGAATTTCAATTTCACAATGTAAAACTTTCCACTTGAAATGAAACATTCGCCATTGCCGAATCTTATATACCCGTCACCATAGTGTGTTTACAAAAATATAAATTTTATAAAATTTAAATTTATTTCATTTTTCCCTACTCTACCATTATTTTAGTAATAGCAAAAGAAACAACAACAAGAACGCTAAACGAAATAAAACACACAAAAAACAAAAACAAAATACACAAGACAATGCAATCAACACACATTCAAATATACATACATATGTTCGTTTTTCCTTTTTTTATGAAATTTTCAGAAGTTGACTTGGATTGCTGATTTGCTGATTTTAAATAAGAAGCTTCTATAAAGCATGATAGATTGAAGATTTGGATCCCGAAGATATCTGGGGTCTTCAGAAAATTGATTTCAATACACACACAGACAGACGGACATGGCTTAATCGACTTCGCTATCTATAAGGATCCATTATATATATTAACTTTATAATATTGTAGAAATTGCAAACGGAATGACAAACTTATATATACCCTTCTTTGGTTTTATATGTTCACACTTTTTGTTCTTTATGACAAGAGCTACAACTTTGCCTCAGAAGATATTAGCCTGAGAAAATTATCACTTTTTTGCAAAAATTACATCAAGATCTTTGGGAGCACTTAAAAAACATTGGGCAAAACTGTAGACATGGGCCTTTTGTTGGTATTTTATCACGTAGTAGTGTTCATATATTATTATATTACCTTGATTTAAAAAATTACACACAGTGTAATTCTCTCTTTCTTATTAATATCGCCTAATCTCATTTCAATTATTAAAGATTTCCGTAATGGTTTTAGTAACTATTTTTTTTTGTTTAACAGTTATTACTCAATAAATGCCCCCGGTGTTATAAAATCGAATCGGAAATATTCTGTTGTTGTTACACTCCATGAGACCAAAGGTCCCTGCTTGATGCGCATAGGCATTGAAGGACCAAATTTTAATGAATTCAAAGATATTAAATTACAACCATATGAATCAACACTATTGGAGTTTTTACCGGGAAAATTGATTGTTGGATATTACACCTTAAATGCAGAAGGCCTATCCGGATGTAGTTTTAAAAATGCAACTCTTTTAAAGGAACATCCTGTTTATGGTCCAAACATTTATATACAAACAGATAAAGCAGTTTATAGACCTCAAGATTTGGTTAAATTCCATGTTGTAATATTAGATGAACATACGAGACCATTAAAAATAGAAGACCCCGTACATGTAGAAATATTGGTGAGTTATTGTAATATAGGAAATATGTGGAGGTTTTCTATATATATTTTTAAATCATAATTTTTTTCATATCGCCTCAGGATAGTACATATAACCGTGTGAAGCAATTTGATAAGATCTCTCTCATTGAAGGCGTTTATGGTGGACAATTCCTATTGTCTAAATATCTTGTCTTAGGAACTTGGAATATTAAGGTTACTCTAGGTGGAAAATATAATTATTCCAAGACAAAATCCATTGAAATAGACAATTACATTCTACCAAAATTTAGTGTGTTCCTAAAAACTCCTTCGATAGCAATTTTGGAAGATGGTTACATTAAAGTAGTGATCTATGGAAAATATGTATTCAATAGATATGTGGAAGGAAATGCTACAGTTGAACTGTGGAATTATTTTCCACCAGGAATGTTACAATCCAAACATGTTGATATAGAGAATATAGGTTCCGTTGAGTTCAATATTAAGAACGAAAGTGCCTACAATCTAATTGTCAAGGCGAAACTTACCGAAAAGCAAACAGGTAGAACTGAAATGGAAGAGAAAAGTATTCTTGTACAAATACAACGCTATAATATAAAAGTTCTATACAATGAGATCGAATTTGAAAATAATAAACCGTATCGCTTAAAAGTAAATGTCCAACACTGGACTGGAGCTCCGGTATTGGATCACAAAACACCAATTACCATGGAACATGGCAATAAAGTGTATGAAACATTTTTGGATGACAATGGCATAGCAACATTTGAGTTTGAACATCATAAAAATGATACACATAAATTTAAATTTAAAGATTCTATAGGAATTTTATCGAATATTTACACAAATGACAATTTAATGTTGAACAATAGGGAATTCTATTGTCGTCTGAAGTTGGTGGATAAAAAGTGAGTTTTATTTCTCGTTTATGAATATGAATGTACATATCTCTCTAATGCTTAAATGTTTTCCTTCGCAGACTTAAACTGGGAAAACCTGTACTAATTGAAGTCAGTTCGATTATCAGTATACCTTATTTGATGTATACGATAATGGGTCATGCCAGTCTCATACATACAGAACATGTTAAAATACCACCTTATCAGAATTCCTATATCATAGAGATAATGCCTACACTTGAGATGATACCAGACTCTTTCATCTACGTGTATTATATTCACAAGGGTAATTTACGTTACGAAGAAATGCATTTGAGTTTTCCCAATGAATTTGAAAATCAGGTTTTAATTAGTAAATTAAAATAATAATATAAATTAGTTAAATAATTACCTTTTCTAGATCTCACTATCAGCACCCAAACAAGTGAAACCGGGCGATGAAGTTACAATTACCATAAATGCACAACCCAAGTCGTATGTTAGTTTATTGGCTGTGGACTTGGGTGTTTATTTATTGGATAATACATATGATTTATATAAGGATGATATAATGTCGGACTTGATTCATGAAAGGTCATATTCTCCCATGGCAGCTGTATTGTATCCCGGTATAATATCCGGTCTATTGACCTTAACGAATGCTCACTATCCATATCAAAATCAAAGTGGTAAGAACATTTTTTATAGCCGACACCAGGCAGGGTATTATGTTTTTTTTTAATATTTGCAACACACAAAAATATCGGTTCTACACTGAACAATCGGCTCAGAATCATTTTCTGAGTCAATTTAGGCTCACTATTGGGTCTATTGTGCGCCCCTTTTCATAGAAAATGTTTGTTATGTAGTGATCAATGAACATCGTCAGATGTTCAGAAACTCAGCATCCTGGACGTAATTCTTAGGAATTTTTGAATCACTGTTCGTGAGCGGTGTAACATCCGGAATAATATCACTCCCAAGTTATTTGGATCTAATTTCAACAAAAGTCAGTCAATGGCAAATAAAGTGTTCCAGAGTTTCACTATCCTCTCTATAGGCATTACATTCGTCTGAATCCACACTTCCAATATTGTATAGCTGTGCCCGTAATCCTGTATGACTCAGACTAACCTCAGAAGAGGCTTCTCGTTTTGTTCTTGTTAGCGTCTCCCATAGAATCTTTGTGGTTCTTCCCACCGTTTCATTATTGCAACAGGTCTTATGGGTTTCTCTTAGCTCTAATGCGTCGAATGCTATACGTTCATCAGATTAACTACCACTAGCTCCCTTCTCTTTAAAGCTATTACATTTGCTCTTTCGTTGCCGTCAAGATTCTGGGGTATTTCGAATACCGGATTTGCTAAATCAAGTATTTTTTTGATAAGTGGACTCTTTGTTCATAGACATTGAGCCGCTTTTAATATTGTCATAACATCCAGGGACTTTATGATATGCCACCAAATCCTTCTATCAAATCCTTCAAACTTCACCCCATAATTGATTCAAAGACCCACAGAGAGCAATCCACAAATAGGATATTTGTAACTAATATTATGTACTCTATCAAATTATGAGGTGAATGCACCATTATTGGACCTAGTATAACACTGGGTACTTCGGTGAAGAGTATCATATGATCGGACATGACCGACTATACTTTTATACTTGCTTGAATTTAAATTTTAACATGGTTTAATGCATTTCTTGGCAGTTACTGTAGTTTCTGAAGTTATTGTTCCTACCATACATCGTTTTCGTCAAAAATTCCCAGAAACCTGGATATTTGATAGTTTTTTAATGTAAGTATTCATATAATCTCTGGAATTTCGATCTATATTATGATAAAATACTTTAACTAACTAACAAGTCCACTTACACTTTCAGCAATGAAACTACGACCAAATTAACTCTTTCCATACCAGACACTATAACCACTTGGCGTCTAACGGCATTTTCAAATCACGATATAACAGGATTTGGAATAGTAAATGGTCCCACAGATATCACTACCATACAAACCTTCTACATATCACTAAATCTACCAAATTCAGTGAAACGTGGGGAAATTGTAGCAATACCCATAACAATATTTAATTATTCCAACCAATCACTAGACGCAGAAGTTGTTCTAGATAATAATGATAAAGAGTTCAATTTTATGGAATTAATAAAACAAGTTGTGCAGAAATCAAATGATCAACAAAAACAGACTAAAATCGTTACCATATTAGCGGATAACGCCAAAACCGTGAAATTTCTTATATATCCCCTACAAGCGGGTGATATCAATCTAAGAATTACAGCTACAAGTTCTTTGAACTCAGATGCGGTTCTACAGAAACTTAAAGTTATATCAGAAGGAATTGTCAAGCAAAGAAGTCAGTCTTTGTATTTAAGTGTACCGTCGGAAGAGAAATTTTTTTCCACATTAAGCCTTGAAATGCCAGTAGACATAGTCCCCGATACTGACTATATTACCTTTACTGTGGGTGGTCATTATTTAATACCCACAGTGGAAAACTTTAATAATCTTATACCATTGGCCACTGGGTCCGGTGATCAAAATATGGTAAACATTGCTCCTGGAATCTTGATTTTGCAATATCTTAAAGCAAATAATAAATTGTCTAAGGAGAAGGATTTGGTTGAAAATTTACTTTCATCAATTGAAGTTAATTACCAACAGCAACTGTCATTTCGTCATGGTAATGGTGGTTATAGCGTTTTTGGCATGGCAACCGATGAGGAACCCAGTACTTGGCTCACCGCCAATGTGGTGCGTTATCTCATCAAAGCTTCGCAGTTCGTAGATATTGAATCAAATATAATTGAATCTGCTTTAGAGTATTTGGTTAGTCAACAAAAATCCAATGGGGAGTTTCTATATACGGGTTATTTGTTAGATTCTAAACATGAAAATGCATATGGACTGACAGCCTTTATACTAATGGCATTTTTGGAAAATCAAGTAAGTACAAAGAGGGTTTTAATATATCTGGAATGGATGTACTTATAAGATCGATGAATCTTTTTTTTCAACATTTGTATTAATTTCATATATTATTGTAAAAATCTACAATTTCAGACTTATGTCGAACAACATCAAAAGACTATAGAAATTGGAGTAAAATTTTTAAATTCAAATTTAAATAATACCAACGATATTTATGTATTAACCCTAATGGCCACTGCATTAAAACGTGCTAAACATCAGAATGCTGATATTCTTATAAATCAACTGAAATCACGTGCCAACGAAAATAATGGTCTCAGGTGGTGGTCGGGAAATAATCAAAATTTGGCCAATGATATTGAAATTACTGCATACGCAGCAATAATTCTGCTGGATACTCCAGGAGATCATACTTCGATCTTAAAATGGCTTATAAAACAGCGTAATGCTAAGGGAGGCTTTACATCTTCACATGATACCGTAGTGGGTTTGGAAGCCTTAGTAAAATTTTCAAAAATATATAAAAATCTCAAGAATATTGATTTAAAAATTTCCTATATTGCCAAAGATCTAGAAAGTAATGAAGTGGCAAATGGTGAATTTCATGTGAATTCAAACAATATTTTAGAATTGCAAAAACATGAGGTACTTAATTTTGTAAAAGTGTTATGTTATAAAAATATATTAAAATAACAATTTATAATTTTAGTTACCAACAACCACACACCATATTATTTTCGAAACAGAGGGCAATGGAGCCTCCTTGATACAACTCGTTCAACAATACAACATCATAAATGACACAGAATTTCGTCATTTTGAAATTCGACCTAAAGCAATCTACAAAAATGAGAAAGAAATTAATTTGAAAGTTTGTTTCATTTACCAAACCGAATCACATATGACCAATGAAACCAGCAATTTGGTGATTATGGAAATAAATTTACCTTCTGGTTTTAGATCTGAAGCTGAAAGTAGTATGTCTTTAAGGCAAAATAATATTGTGCAGAAAATCGAAATCACAAATTTAGAAGCGACAATAATTTTATATCTAAATAAATTACAGGCAAATGGTACTTATTGTCTAGAGCTTCCTACATATAAAATAATTGAAATTTTAAAGCCAAAATCAGCAGCCATTATAATGTATGATTATTATAATTTGAATCGTACGAATACGAAATTTTATACTTTATAAATAATTCCAAATATATAACTAAATATTGTTTTTCTAAATATATAAAATGACAAAATATATTTAAACAAGTAAGAGTGATATATTCGACTGTGCCGAATCTTATATACCCTTCACCATGATGTGTTAAAAACAGTCAGTACGAATTTTATTACAAAAAATCAAAAATACCAATTGCAAAACGGTAAGGTACCAAAAAGCCCCCTTTTATGGGATCTCACTTAATCCACGCTCTAAATAATTAATTTCATGATTCTAGGTTCATTATTATAGAAATTTCAAAAAGTACCTTTTGTAGAACGAAAAAGTACCAAAAAGTCCCCTTTTATGTGTTCTCACCTAATCCGGGCTCTACATACTTAATTTCATGTTTCTACGTTCAATATTATAGAAAATTCAAAAAGTACCTTTTGTAGAATGAAAAAGTACCAAAAAGTCCCCTTTTATAGGTTCTTACCTAGTCAAGGCCCTACATGCTAAATTTTATGTTTCCAGGTTCAATATTATAGAAACTTCAAAATGTACCTTTTGTAGAACGAAAAAGTACTAAAAGTTACCTTTTATGTGTTCTCGCCAAATCCGGGCTCTACAAACTTAATTTCATATTTCTAGTTTAAATATTATAGAAAATTCAAAAAGTACCTTTTTTAGAACGAAAACGTACCAGAATGTCACCTTTAATGTGTTCTCTCCTAATCCAGGCTCTACATACTTAATTTCATGTTTCTAGCCAATAACAACGTAACGTAATGTTTAGTCCAATTTTATAGATGTTAAAGCAATCACAATCCTATAAGTTTGATTACACGATTTCAGTCTCAATATTACAAAAATTTCAATAAGTACAAAAATGTCGATTTTTATATAATTTTATTTACTCAGGACTCTGCGTGTTTAATTGCATGGTTCAAAGTTCAATCTTATAGAAATCTCAAAGAGTGCTACTTGGAGAATTAAAAAATACTAATAATTACTTCCTATAGATTTCCATTTACTCAGAATGCCAATTTTTAATTATTGTTTATTGGTTCTATATTAGACAAAACTCAAAAGGTTCCGAAAATACCCCAGTGATCACAGAGTTCACTTGTTTTTGCTCTATCTTACATAGCTTCTAAGAAAATTGGAATTATATGTCGGTTTTTGACATTTCTAACTTTAATAGTTTCCAAGAAAAATGGACTTTTATGTTTTCACTCAAAATATCGGTTTTTGGTGGGAAATTATGGTGATCACATAATTCACAGGTTTATGCTCTATCCTAGAAAAATGGATTTTGAAGTTTTCATACAAAATATCGGCATTTGCTGGAAAATTATAGTGATCACAGATTTTACTTGTTTTTGCTCTATCTCTTATAGTTTCCTAGAAAAATGGACTTTTAAGTTTTCACACAAAATATCGGTTTTTGGTGGGAAATTATAGTGATCACAAATTTTACTTGTTTTTGTTCAATCTCTAATAGTTTGCAAGAAAAAGGGACTTTTATGTCAGTTTTTGGTGGGAACTTATAGTGATCACAGATTTCACTTGTCCTAGCTCTATCTCTTACAGATCCTAAGAAAAATGGACTTTTATGTTTTTGGTAGGAAATTGCAGTGATCACAGATTTCACCTGTTTTGCTCTATATCTTATAGTTTCCTGTGATCACTATAATTACCCACCAAAAACCGATATTTTGAGTGAAAACATAAAAGTCCATTTTTCTTGGAAACTATAAGAGATAGAGCAAAAACAATTGAAATCTGTGATCACTATAATTTCCCACTAAAAACCGATATTTTGAGTGAAAACATAAAAGTCCATTTTTCTTGGAAACTATAAGAGATAGAGAAAAACAAGTGAAATATGTGATCACTATAATTTCCCACCAAAAACCGATATTATGAGTGAAAACATAAAAGTCCATTTTTCTTAGAAACTATAAGAGATAGAGCAAAAACAAGTGAAATCTGTGATCACTACAATTTTCCGCCAAAAACCGATATTTTGAGTGAAAACATGAAAGTCTAATTTTCTTGGAAACTATAAGAGATAGAGAAAAAAACAAGTAAAATCTGTGATCACTATGATATCCCACCAAAAACCGATATTTTGAGTGAAAACATAAAGGTCAATTTTTCTTGGAAACTATAAGAGATAGAGCAAAAACAAGTGAAATCTGTGATCACTATAACTTCCCACCAAAAACCGATATTATGAGTGAAAAAATAAAAGTCCATTTTTCTTGGACACTATAAGAGATAGAGCAAAAACAATTGAAATCTGTGATCACTATAATTTCCCACTATAAACCGATATTTTGAGTGAAAACATAAAAGTCCATTTTTCTTGGAAACTATATGACATAAATCTAAAACAAGTGAAATCTGTGATCACTATAATTTCCCACTAAAATCAGATATTTTGAGTGAAAACATAAAAGTCCATTTTTCTTGGAAACTATAAGAGATAGAGAAAAAACAAGTGAAATATGTGATCACTATAATTTCCCACCAAAACCCAATATTTTAAGAGAAAACATAAAAGTCCATTTTTCTTAGAAACTATAAGAGATAGGGCAAAAACAACTAAAAACCGATATTTTGAGTGAAAACATAAAAGTCCATTTTTCTTAGAAACTATAAGAGATAGAGCAAAAATAATTGAAATCTGTGACCACTACAATTTCCTATAAGAGATATAGCAAAAACAAGTGAAATCTGTGATCACTATAATTTCCCACCAAAAACCGATATTTTGAGTGAAAACATAAAAGACCATTTTTCTTGGAAACTATAAGAAATATAGCAAAAACAAGTGAAATCTGTGGTCACTATAATTTCCCACCAAAAACCGATATTTTGAGCCAAAACATAAAAGTCCATTTTTCTTAGAAACTATAAGAGATAGGGCAAAAACAACTAAAAACCGATATTTTGAGTGAAAACATAAAAGTCCATTTTTCTTAGAAACTATAAGAGATAGAGAAAAAATAATTGAAATCTGTGATCACTACAATTTCCCACCAAAACTGATATTTTGGGTGAAAACATAAAAGTCGCTTTATCTTGGAAACTATAAGAGATAGACCAAAAACAATTGAAATCTGTGATCACTATAATTTCCCACCAAAAACCGATATTTTGAGTGAAAATATAAAAGTCCATTTATCTTGGAAACTATAAGAGATATAGCAAAAAAAATTGAAATCAGTGATCACTATAGTTTCCCACCAAAAACCGATATTTTGAGTGAAAACACAAAAGTCCCTTTTTCTTGGAAACTATAAGAGATAGAGCAAAAACAATTGAAATCTGTGATAACTATAATTGCCCACCAAAAACCGATATTTTGAGTGAAAACATAAAAGTCCATTTTTCTTGGAAACTATTAGAGATAGAGCAAAAGCAAGTGAAATCTGTGATCACTATAATTTCCCAACAAAAACCGATATTTTGGGTGAAAACATAAAAGTCGCTTTATATTGGAAACTATAAGAGATAGACCAAAAACAATTGAAATCTGTGATCACTATAATTTCCCACCAAAAACCGATATTTTGAGTGAAAATATAAAAGTCCATTTATCTTGGAAACTATAAGAGATATAGCAAAAACAAGTGAAATCTGTGATCACTATAATTTCCCACCAAAAACCGATATTTTGAGTGAAAACATTAAGGTCCCTTTATCTTGGAAACTATAAGAGATAAAGAAAAAACAATTGAAATCTGTGATCGCTATAATTTCCCACCAAAAACCGATATTTTGAGTGAAAATATAAAAGTCCATTTATCTTGGAAACTATAAGAGATATAGCAAAAACAAGTGAAATCTGTGATCACTATAATTTCCCACCAAAAACCGATATTTTGAGTGAAAACATAAAAGTCCCTTTATCTTGGAAACTATAAGAGATAGACCAATAACAATTGAAATCTGTGATCACTATAATTTCCCACCAAAAACCGATATTTTGAGTGAAAATATAAAAGTCCATTTATCTTGGAAACTATAAGAGATATAGCAAAAACAATTGAAATCTGTGATCACTATAATTTCCCACCAAAAACCGATATTTCGAGTGAAAACACAAAAGTCCCTTTTTCTTGGAAACTATAAGAGATAGAGCAAAAACAATTGAAATCTGTGATAACTATAATTGCCCACCAAAAACCGATATTTTGAGTGAAAACATAAAAGTCCATTTTTCTTGGAAACTATAAGAGATATAGCAAAAACAAGTGAAATCTGTGATCACTATAATTTCCCAACAAAAACCGATATTTTGGGTGAAAACATAAAAGTCGCTTTATCTTGGAAACTATAAGAGATAGGCCAAAAACAATTGAAATCTGTGATCACTATAATTTCCCACCAAAAACCGATATTTTGAGTGAAAATATAAAAGTCCATTTATCTTGGAAACTATAAGAGATATAGCAAAAACAAGTGAAATCTGTGATCACTATAATTTCCCACCAAAAACCGATATTTTGAGTGAAAACATAAAAGTCCCTTTATCTTGGAAACTATAAGAGATAGAGCAAAAACAATTGAAATCTGTGATCGCTATAATTTCCCACCAAAAACCGATATTTTGAGTGAAAACATAAAAGTCAATTTTTCTTGGAAACTATAAGAGATAGAGCAAAAACAACTAAAAACCGATATTTTGAGTGAAAACATAAAAGTCCCTTTATCTTGGAAGCTATAAGAGATAGAGCAAAAACAATTGAAATCTGTGATCACTATAATTTCCCACCAAAAACCGATATTTTGAGTGAAAACATAAAAGTCGCTTTATCTTGAAACTATAAGAGCAAAAACAATTGAAATCTGTAAACACTATAATTTTCCACCTAAAACCAATATTTAGAGTGAAAACATAAAACTCCATTTTTCTTGGAAACTATAAGAGATAGAGCAAAAACAATTGAAATCTGTGATCACTATGATTTCCCACCAAAAACCAATATTTGGAGTGAAAAAATGAAACTCCATTTTTCTTGGAAACTATA